ATTTTTTTGGACAACCGCAATGTTGTATTTTGGGTTATTTAGACATTCTAACTTTGGATCTTCAGATCTCTTCCTGAGTGGGTTATGTTAACAAGATACATATATTTTTAGTCTACACTATATACTGTTTCAATAAATGGTGTTCAGATAAAAGAGTGTGGTAAACTTAAAAGTGGCAAGAACGTGGTTTGACTCCAATTAAAACAGTTGGAATGAGTGAGATAGGGACCTAAGACCCACTACTTCAATCAAACTTTAGTTCTAAAAATATAAGAGAAAATACTGAACGTTCGCTCGCCCGAAGAATTCGCCTTTATCGCAGACTACGTTCACATTCGACATAATTTACAAACAGAGGATTCTTGCACGCAAACATCGCCCCACTATTATTCTTATGGAGCAGGTGCAGTGGTACGAAGGTTTTTCTGCGAATTCTGGTTACTTATAATTTCACTGCAAAAGTCTACAACTGAATATGATGTCTTGTCCAGACAAAAACAGACTCTTTCACAATTAACAGTGATGAGTTACTGTATTTTTACGGCGGCCCTGACCATTAATATAGAATTTTGGCTCTTTGAACGTTATAACAATACTTGAAAGCTAGAAAGGGTCGGAGTCTAAACACCTTACTAGGGTACTGTCGGCGGAAAACCCTTACATTTTTGGGACAACAACATGGCCGCCATATGAATGTCTTGGGGAATCAACATGGCGGACGTGGCGTCACTGTGAAAAGGCTGTACAAGTATGAGCCCTTAACATTTTTAGCAACACTCGAGAAGTAAGAGTAGCCGTCATATAATGCTCCTTCTTCTCCAGAACTTCTCTCGTGCTTCCAAAAAGAGAAATTTTAAATAAGATTCCCCGAATTATAAAAAGTTTTAAGCTCACACGTTAATAGTAGTTTACGCAAAAGGACGGCAGGAAGAAGAGGATGGCAAAACGGGTTTGTGAGACATTCGTAACAGGGCTATCATTTTACACTTATGTTTTCCGGTCGTTTACAAAAAGACCTGTTCAAAAGAAGATGGAGTTTGGCGGAAGGTTTTTACAAAGAAAATTATTGTCACACAACGTTTGACGTCTTCTTTTCTCTCCCGTCCTGTTGCATAACTTTACTAACTACTTGATAGGTGCTATCATTACAAAAAGATAATGAATAAACAGTGAAAAAAAAATGGATTTCTGCTATACTAATTACTACTACTACTTCTGTTATGTGAAAGCTTCACGAATTCATTGAAACAAAGAAACAAACAAAGAAAAAAAGAAAATAATATGCTGCCCAGCATCTGGACAAAATGCATGGAACTAATTCTACCTCTTGATGTAAAAAGTAATAAGGAGGAGAAAGAAAGAAAGAAAAAAAACATGTGTAATGTACTCAACCTTAACAATATTTATAACAACTGTATCACTGAACGGAACTACAATCGGCGACAAACTTGTTGAGACATTGTACTCAAATAGGGTAACTTCAGAGAACAAAAGAAACTACACCCCTCCCCTCCACTCAAAGTTGGGGTGGTTGTTGTTTTTTACAGGTAGCTCGAACAGCGGCACAACATTGCATGGAGGGGATGGGGAAAGAAAAGCTTTATTATGCCCTTTTCAAATCGGTAAAACGTCAAAAAGCCCCTTTCGGGCGAAGTGTCTCAGCTAATTTTGTCGCCTTTTTGTTAACTCATTTGTCTGAGTTAATTGATACACTAGATAACGTTGTATACATCAACGTATACATCAGAGTGGCAACAATGCTTTGTGCATACTATCCACACTTGTATAAGTTCTCTAAATGTTTCAAAAGGTTTTATATACTTTTCCTAATTTTAAGTATATAAGTATTTTTTATATTGATGTTTTAGTATTTTTTTACTTGTTGCAGAGGTTTTTATGGCCCTTTTCCCAAGCCAGAACTTGACATTCTTTGCTACAGTATACTTCCTCACAGTTGGCACATCTTTTCAATTTGTCTCCATCTCCGCCGATACAGTTGCCACAGCGACGGATTGGCTCAGGACCATACGCTTTACGGTATTTCCCCAAAACCTACAATAAAAAACATGACATAATTAACACAGTCAGAGAAACATTTTCGTATCCACTTGTCCTTCGGACAAGCACTATCAGGATATTAAATTTGGTTGTCCAAAACCAAAGAGTTCTTATCCAAAAAATTTAGCTCGAAACTCAAAAAGCAATCGGATATTTAATGTTTTTAATCACATTATTACCCTTGTAAATTGTTTTTGACTTAAACCTAAACTGAGCTCGTAAAAACAAATGAAATGACCGTGGAATGGCAAAGTTAAAAGGAATATAACTTTTTTTTTGTCAAGTATGAGGTTTGCCTTTATAACTTTTAAGATGAATTTTAAATTTCTACTATAATTTGAAGACAATTTTCAACTGTTACTTAATTTTTCCTAATTAAAAAAGTGCTTTTCCTACGGACAAGTCATGTCAAAGGGGTTACACGTCCGAACTAAATTTCTACCAGCCCCAGACAATCGGACATAGGTTTTGAGAACCCTGATTAACTTATTGAAATAACTATTGAACAGGTAATAACCAAAAGAAATGGAGTGTGGGCGAGATTGATCAACGGTCAAAACGCTCTTGGTCCAACGCTGTGTTTTGCTTCCCGCCTTAAGTTTCACGTCATAGAAGGTCAAAACACGCGCGATCAGATTACGAGTGATAGAAGGCCAAACCGTGCGTAATCAGATTGCGTTCTACTCTCGGCATTCCATTCATTCCGAGTGGACGTCGAAACGAACGCTGGTTACATACGTGCAATGCGTTCGTAACAGCAACCTGAAGATTACGATTGCGGGCTCCTGTGGTTGCCTGCAATTAATTTATTAGGCTGAATAATGCCGATATTTATCCGTGAATGTCAATGTGATTTCTTTTGTTTTACACTCCTCAGTTTTTGAAACTGGCCCAAAAGGCCCTTTGCAGGCTTTGTTTAACAGCTCACTGGATTACAAGCCTCTAAGCGTTGACTCTGACCACAAAGCTCTGAGTGCCACCAAGTGAAGCATTCCGAGCCGAGTTAAATTATTTTGTTAAAAATTAACCCAAACGACTGGCCTAAAAAGCCTTCGCCCGGTCGCACTCAAACCTTTTCGATCTAAATGAACACTTGGATGGCTTGCTTTCCACTAAGCCGTTGCTAGGTGGTATTCACGCACGTGACTAAGTTCTGCAAAGTTGTATTTTGCTCTGTTTTTGGAAATGGGTGTGTATGAGAATGAGTTTAAAGGTCAGGATTGTTCCTTACCTCCCAAAAAATAGACAGCACATTATTTGCATTTCCAGTATTGTTAACTTGGGTTCTGAGGCAAAATGAGATGTCATTCAACGCTCGCTGGTGGTGTCCGAGCTCCATAAAGGCCTTGGATCGACGGAACATGGTTTTTAATAGTATTTTTTCAGCTTCCTCGTTTTCTAACGTAAGAATGAATAAAAAACGTAAGTTTACTAGCAACTCTTTCCCTACTGTGTATACAAATTCCTGTATAGATATTCCTAAAGGCACAGTAAGTGTGAAAGGCAGTTTGACGAAGAATTCAAGTTGCCAGTCTGGGCCGGGTTGTTCGAAGCTGAGTTAAGATAACCCAGGGTTAGTGCCAAATTCGAACNAATAGACAGCACATTATTTGCATTTCCAGTATTGTTAACTTGGGTTCTGAGGCAAAATGAGATGTCATTCAACGCTCGCTGGTGGTGTCCGAGCTCCATAAAGGCCTTGGATCGACGGAACATGGTTTTTAATAGTATTTTTTCAGCTTCCTCGTTTTCTAACGTAAGAATGAATAAAAAACGTAAGTTTACTAGCAACTCTTTCCCTACTGTGTATACAAATTCCTGTATAGATATTCCTAAAGGCACAGTAAGTGTGAAAGGCAGTTTGACGAAGAATTCAAGTTGCCAGTCTGGGCCGGGTTGTTCGAAGCTGAGTTAAGATAACCCAGGGTTAGTGCCAAATTCGAACTCGAATATGAGAGCTTAAAAACAAATTCAGTTTAATTCTGCTTGCCTACAATTTGATGATTGGATACTTTAAAACGAATATGGAAAATTACCCAAGAGCTTGCTTTTGATAAAAAGAAAAAGAAACCCGGGTTAAAATTTAACCCTGGATTAGTGCTAATCGGCGTTCGAACATCTGGGCCCTGGTGACCAGTTTCAGGACTGCTGAGACTGCTTTAGGAAATGGAGCAAATACTGAGGGATTAGCAAACATCACCGAAAGGAAAGAGACCATTTTTACTAAATAAACATTGATGTACATCTGTCTAATTCGGGCACACCCGCAGCCGCGATTGGGTGAGTTTGTCCAATTACGACAGAAAGGCTGGAATGTTTCCCTAGCTGGTCTACACATGTTAACAAAAAACGCATGCGAGATAACAGTCCCCTGAACATGCGAGACAATGAGACACAATGAAGCACTCAACCCGACTGGTGTGCACCCAACGACTTTTTTCCCCGTAAAACAATAGATGGCTTTCACAGTGACGTCATCAAATTGTAAAGTCAAAATAGGGAGATTTTAAGAATTCTTATTTACACTAGGTTGAAGATAAACAAAAATTAAATCTTTGTACAAGTTTTCATTCCTGTAGCATGTTTCATTTAACTAGAACCAACTACGTGGAACTTACCGGGGCCCAGTGGGACACGGGATTGCATAGATATAGTTTACCTCTCGCACCCCTCCCCCCTCCTCTGTGGAGGCTAATACTTAG